GGTAAAGGAGTATTTAATCTAAAGTAATTTTGGAGAATATCTCCAGCACCCACCCAACATGTTATGTCGTGGTTCGATTAAGAAGATAGTGAGAAGGGAGGTGCAATCTTCCTTGAGTGGTTTAAACTCAGTTAGGACGCAGTTGGTAATCAATCACAAGACATCTATGTATAGCATTTAACGTTTCATTGGCATATCATGAACAAAACAAACCAAACTAACGCCCTGCATAATAAAAATAAATACTACGGTATCTATTATCATTATTACTATTATTAGGGGCCAATTGTTACGATATGATCATATAGCTAAATTCGTATTTATCAATGCAGTTGATTTACATCAGAAATGGCAGCATGGCTGCTTGAGTAGGCCTGGAAAAAAAGCCTTGTTACACAAAATGGATAAATTAAAATGTTGCTATTAAGTACAGAAGAAATCTCGCTCTAAAAGGTGTAGTCAAAGCCATTAAAATGTACAGTACAATATTGTAGAACTTGATAATCACTCTTGTAATGGGCCTTTCCGCTAAACCCCGCCCCTTGGATATTGTTGCTAAGATATTGTGGCTAAGATATTGTTGCTAAGATATTGTTAAGTTTGACACTCAGAAAGCAACTGAAGAACCGCCAGTTTTATGCTCTCAGTTGCCTCCTATTCTATTTCGCTGCGATCAGAATAAACTGACAAAGCGATTGAACTTGGTAATATGACGCAGTAGTTATTCTAATACCCCTTGATATGACAGTGTTATCCCAGTACAGGACAAACTCAATTCTGCTAAATCCCAGACAGACCTGGCATATTCTAGTATTGTATTGAAGTACTATTATTTTCCAGTATACTCAAGCTGTCTCTTATACACATCTAGATGTGTATAAGAGACAGCCTTAATATTTAGTCTTAAATACTGTTATATTATTATTTATTCATTTTATTATAATTGAAATTTATTTATGTGTGGAGAAATTTCAATAAACAAACAATCAAACAAACGTTAACCTTAACTTTAACGTTAGTACCCAACATGCAGCGCGATAGCTCCGCCCCTTTTGTAATCAAATCGAAATACGCATGCGCAAACCCGTCATCCGTTAACGTTAAGGTTAACGTCGGGCGTTGAAAATTACCTATATTCATACAATATATAGGTAGTGTATTTAGCACATGATTTAGCAACACAATTCATGTCAATAGAGGGCGTAACTATAGTATATAATATATACCGGTATGACATATTGTATATTGTATTTAGGCACACTTTATTCAAAAATTGAATACACGGCCACATGGCCCAACAGGTAAAACATAACTGGCACGCAAACCAGAGTCACCATAAAAAAAACTTGAGGAACAAGATTTTTTTGGTATAATCATTTATTTTATTAGTACACCTAATTTACTTATTTATTTACTTAATTTGGTAAAGTAGGCGTTCAACTATCCTTAAGTGTTTGTGTACCCCAACATCCACCGTCACCCAAGGACACACCAGTAAATGCTGTCTGGTGAGGTTTACGGAATTACCGCACAGTTTACATGAGCAAGCATTATTAAGGTGGTAACAATTAGCTATGCTACACCAAAGGTTATGGTAAGCCGTCCCTATCTACCGCCCCATCGTTTTCATCATTGGCCCACACAACAGGGTCACATTTGGAGGGGTTTGCATGCCATCACGAATCAGCGATTGTAAAGGAGTATTTAATCTGAAGTAATTTTAGAGAATATCTCCAGCACCCACCCAACCAGATTCATCAAATAGATGGGAGTTGGAACTAAATTTTGAAACACCCCACCAGTGTTTTAGTAGACGGCACTGCACAAGAGTTATGTAATCGAAGTCAGCACTGGTCATTTGTGCAACAAAAGCTTTCAGGCCATAAGTTGCGGATGGCAAAACTACAGTGAAAAATGGTCTCTCAAGTGAGGTCAGAGACATGTTTTTAAGGTGCATATTAACTGCAATCTTTGCACAGGCGGAAATTCCTTTCTTTTTTAGGTAATCTAGGTGTCTTTTATAACCTCCCTTAGTTTTAAACACAACACCTAAACAAATAAATTTAGAAACAAACTCGATGTTTGAACAGCCCCAGAGAACACTGTCTCGGGCTCCGAGACGCCCCCTCTACGAAATTTTACTATCTTCGTTTTACTGACATTAATTGTCAGTCCATTGCTCTCGCAGTAATTAGATAGCAAATTAATAGATTTTTGCAACAGCTCAACTTCTCATCAGCATACAGTAGAGTAGTGATGTTGCCCGGAGCTTCAACACACGAGGGCAGATTATGTGTGAAGAGAATATCAAGGAGAGGTGATAGGCATTCCCCTTGGGCCAGGCCAATGTTCTGTGCGACTGCTTCACTCAATACATTATTTGTTAAAATGTTAATGTAATTCTCTCTCAGTAGAGACCACAACGCTTTCATAATCTTGGGATGCAATCCTAGTTCACATAGCTTCCGAAGCAACCTACCCCTGTCCACGCTGTCAAATGCCTTTTTAAAATCCACAAACGCCACATAGAGTGGGCATTTGGGAGTAGTTAAGGTGTTAATTTATTAGCATATTAATTAAGCTCTTTGACAGCGGTTTCAGTGGATAGGTTGCTTCGGAAGCAATGCTGTTGCGCAGGCAGTATTTCTTGGGTTTCTGCCCAGTTTAATATACGTTTACTTAGTATATACGTATAACATTTTAGAACACACGATGATAATGCAATACCCCTATATGAGTCTGGGTGTGATAATGATCCTTTGCCCTTATATATTTGCAACAAGTAGCCAATCAGCCAATGGG